TYKKKTKGTYGCAGGGTTGGGCAGGCTGATGCTGAGMGAAGGCAGGACATTGTGCTGAGYGGRGCTCATATCAAGGAGGAGCACTGCATCTTCAGGAGTGAGAGGAACAACAATGGGGAAGGTAAAAATCTGCTTCTGCTAACAAAGCACTGCTGAATCTTTCACTTCCCTCACTTTGATAGCTGGCCAGGGATTCCTGTGATGTGGAAGTKTCCTGACCTCAAGAAAAGGATCAGTTTTGTCTTGTTTTCTTGATTCTTAAGGAAAGAAAATAAAATTTGTTTAAGTTATAATAACTTTAAATTGCAGAAGTTAAATTCTGACCTTGGTTAACTATAAACATGAAAAAAGTAGTTTCCAACTGCATATGTGGATAAATCAGTAGTGTTTATTTCCTCATCACTCTTTATGTTTAAGCAGCATGCCATCCAGGGCTGATTCACTTCTCTGGTGTCAGTGTGAAGATGGGCAGAAAATGAGAGACCTCTGGGCTTGCACACTTTTRTTTCTCTGCAGGACTCACTAAAGTCTCACTGACCAATATTTTCTTTGTAGTTATTGTTACTTTGGAGCCYTGTGAACGATCAGAAACCTATGTGAATGGCAAGAGGGTTGTGCAGCCTGTGCAGCTGCGCTCAGGTAAGAAATGTTCAAATRGATTTTTTGTAGGATTTAGCCAGAAGGCTTAACACTATTAGGGTTATTTCAGCTCTTYTGACATTAATGTAAAAGAAATTGTAAAATCCTTCCCTAGATCCCACTGCTTAGTGGGATAAAATAAAATCAATACATGTAAATCACATTTTATAGAAGAGTAGMCACCATGTGTTCCAGTGTTGGAAGTCAAAGCTTTTCTAAGCTGAAAWTTCTGCTGAAATGGCTTTTGCCTCTGTTTTGGCAGTGTCAGTGGAGGAGGGGCATGGGAGTTAGTGATGGGTTTGATTTACTGCWACTGTTGGTCCCTCTCTCAGGTTTGTTCTTTATTTTCTATAAATTCTGCTGGGATATGAGATTGGACCCCTGAGGGTGATGATGTCCTCTGAAAGCACTGGGACTGTTCTGTTCAAACCAGGCACTCTGGTTTTCCTCTCACCAACTTCCCTGGAACATACACAGAAATCCTTATGGGATAATCTTTTCTTCTGCTGTCACCTACAGGATAAATGGGATGAATGATGATGTTTTTCAATGGTTTGGAATCCCTGCCTGAAAGATTAAAATTTCTGTTCCTATTTCTAGGAAATCGTATCATCATGGGTAAAAATCACGTGTTCAGATTCAACCACCCAGAGCAAGCACGAGCAGAAAGAGAGAAAACACCATCAGCTGAGACTCCCTCAGAGCCAGTGGACTGGACATTTGCACAGAGGGAGCTGCTGGAGAAGCAGGGCATTGACATGAAGCAGGAGATGGAGAAAAGGTAACAAAATAGCTCCGAATTTCTACCTGAAACAAAGAGGAGTCAGCAGTAGGTTACTGGGTTCTGTCACACAGCATCTCTGCTACCCCTTGGGGAAGTTCAGAAAGCTTCCTCCCTATTTTRCTGKAGTGTTTCAGTGCTCCAGATCCTTKAAAMATCMCAGGTAAGCACCTGCCACCAACTGCAGACCTTTAGATAAGGTTCAGTGCAGCTTGCAGGCAGTTTCTGTGGTACTTGAACAGACAGAGAGCAGATCCTTTTAAAGGGCAGTGACTTTTATGGTTGTAATTCAGGGGATGGTGCATGAAAMTAATGACTGCTTCTGTTCTTCTGTTCAGATTACAAGAAATGGAGATTTTATATAAAAAAGAGAAGGAGGAAGCTGATCTCTTGTTGGAGCAGCAAAGACTGGTATGTGTCCTTATTTCTGAGTAACTCTACCTTTGGCAAACAGTAATTCCTGTCCTTGCTTATCTGAAAGTTTAGGAAACCTGCTTGGGTTGTCTGCACAATGCAGTTCTCCCTTTGCTTTCAAATTCTTTGTGTCTACAGTGAATTATTAGYAGTGTGAGTGAGCTCCTTCAGGTTAATTCAGAGATTTTGATTGACAATGAAGAGGCTTTAATCAATTCTTGTTGGGATAGTTTGGATTTCTTGCAAGTTGACCTGAAAGAAGGGCCTTTTTGTGCTCTGTGTTCTTTGAAGTTCCTTTTCAGTAGTCTAAACAGCTACTCCTTGGGATGTTTGCCTTTATTTTTGTCTTGGATCACCAGAATATACTAATTTTGTGCTGCCAAAGAGATTCCTAGAACATTGATCCACTAGGTTAATTTTTTGAATGATGTCTGAGAACGTTGCTGCATTGTGCATGTTTTAACCCTTCTCCCTCCCCTGCATGGAGTTCCTGTGAGGCTCTTAGTGGTGGGTTCTGAGTAGGAGCAGGGTGTTAACTCGGGCAAGCACTGCCAATTCCACCACTCCTTGAGAGGTCTGATAAATTGGGATACAGGAAGACTTCAGGATTCTCACAACAAATATCTCTGAGGTGCATTACAAATAGAAATGGCTGCAGTCTTCAAGCACCCTGTGAATTTGAAAAACAAGGCCAAACCCAGGAATGAAATCTMGATTTCCCTAAGAAACCTGTGTCTCCTGAATCTGCTTTAGCTGGTTGTCTTTGGCCAGAACACAAATGTAGTTGTGCCAGAATTCCACTAAAAATTTCCAACTCATGATTCAGTTGTTTGTAGTGTGGGATGGAGACCACTGAAAACTGGGGGTTGAATTCTGGGCTTTGAACTGTAAAGCTCTTGCCCTTCTTCCCAAGCCAGAAGGAAGCAAAGTACTCTGGCTACTATAGGAGGAAGCTACATAATTTTTTGTTTTTAATTTCTATTACACACTTAAAAAACTTTTGCATTTCTATTTCATCACAAAGGACTAATTTCTTGGATGGAGAGGAGTGAGTACAAACTGAACCAAAGTAACCTTTAGTTCAGAAAAAAAAAGTTAAAATGTGACCAATGTTTCATTTCTGGAGTTTTATAGTGAAAATCGGCTGTCTGGAAAGCTGCTTCCAATAAGGCTGCATTTATAAAGTGTTCTGAAGGGAATTTGTTTCCCCAAATACTTCAGAGCAAGGGAGAATTGTTTAGAGAGTGGATTGGTTAATATGGTGATAAAGATGCTGCTTTCTTCAAGCTTGTTTGTTCTTGCTGGTTGCAGTTAGTGGACAAAGGTGTAATGCTATTTTACATGCATCAGCAATTCCTGAGGGATACCTTTCCCACTTGTAAGGGATGATATCAAATGAGATTCTTGGTCAGTGCAGCATCCTGCTTATCACAGTGCTCCACAGAATATTCCAGGTGACAGCAAAACTCATGATTTCTGTGGCACTGTTTGCAGAACCTGGAGTGGGCAGGATTAGTGGGTCCATACAGCAGTAGTTGAATCATGACTGGGAAATCTGGAAATGCATTTCAACTCGTGTACCTTAAAAGTATTTACACTGCTGCCATATCCAGCTGCAGTATCACATTCTCTCACTGCTACKTAAGACTGATATTGAAATATAAATATTCTGCTTGTTCTAAACTGGAGTATAATCTCAGATATAAGAAGCTGGCTAATCCTGTTTATCAAATTGTTTTGGTTTTATGCTGAGATTCCAACCAGTTTGGGTGTTTATTTGTTAGATGTGCTGTACAAAAACAACCAATAGCTCTTGGTCCCCAAAATTAGCAACTGAAGTATCTTTGCCTTGCTAGTATTACTAGGGGATAGAAGTAGTTGTTCTCCATTTTACAAATGGAATGTGAAAATGTGTTTAAATAGAGCTAAAATGGTCTTCCTGGCTGCCCTGGTCATCATGCCTGTGCAGTGAGCAGTTGGTGTTGGAATGTGGCCATGCAGCTGCAGTAATTGTTGTGAGTAACCTTGGAGTGCACACAGGGCACTGACTCAGGGCCTCTTCATCAGCTTTGGATACCAAGACATGTTTTACCCATAAGTAGTTCTGTGGTAGTAACTACGRGAGTAACTGTTGGAGTGCTGTGGAACTTGTGACTTAATGTTGGAGTAGTTTGTGTTTCACCTTCCTGYTTGTGGCCCAGAGTGGCCCAACTGCACAGGAGCTTCCTCCAGGGAGCCCTTGGTTGCCACTGCCATGTGCAGTTTTCCTTAGGCCACAGATTTTGGCAGCTGTGAACTCACAAAGAGTTTATATTCTGTTTCTGAACCAGTATTTTGCTTATATTTTGACCTAAACTAGAAGTTGATTCTCTAGTACTATTCTAAAACKACATTAAGTCACAAGGAGCTCAAAKAACGYGAATCATGACCATAGGGCAGARCAGTATTTCCTTTAYCCCTTTTTATAATTGCCCCCCAAAATAATATTGTATTTCCCATTCTTCGTGGTCATCTACCCGAAGTGTAAACCCTAGGAACCTGTGSTACTGACTCAGTGGCCTGGGTTTCCTTTGGTTTTACAGTAAGTGGCTGTTATTGTTCCTGGTTTCTCATTATTGTAAATCTCCATGTGGAAAACAGGGATGTTAGACAGAGGTGCATTRCACTCTGATGGCTGTGTTGAACATGTTTGGATCATAGTGATACATAGGACTYTTTGCTTGTTAAAGAGGTGTCTTAATCCTTCAAAGAAAAGTGGTCTGATTTGAATTGCTGGTTACAGTAAGCAATGATGGATATCCTAAACTTGTGGTGGCAGTTTATCTGAACAGACATTCCTAGCATGGGAACCTGAAGCACTGCTCATTAAAAGTCATAGAGCAAAAGGTGGAAAATTTGTAATGAAGAAACAAAACAYTTAATGCTTAGCAAGTACGTGGGAGCTCCAGGCTCTAGGGTTTGAGAAGAAGACAAATCAAGGAAATCAAATAGAGRATTCATATTCAAACAATTAAAACCAGAAAGTCATTACTCTGCATTCTACTGAAACTCATTCTTCGCACAGTCAAGACTGATAATGGGTGTTTTTTCTTTAAACTAAGCAACAAGGTGCCAAATGAAAACCAAACCACAACCCACCTCTGAAACTCTGACTCTGGATATCCTTTTAGCTTGTAGCAAGTGCTGGAGTATGAACCACTGTCTTCATCTGTCCTAGTGGCACTTACAGTCCTTTAACACTGAACCTTTCGGCTGCTTCTGTTTCATTTTTTCTCATCGTCTAACACTTCTCTGGCTGCTGTTGTAGTGAAGTGGATTCTAAACTTGAGCATCCCTGCAACCACGTGCAATGTTACTAACCAGTGTTAACCCAACTCACTCTGCTGCTCATGACATCTTCTATGATGGCTGTTTGTTCACCTACCTGGGGAGGATTTGTGAAAGAAGCAACTGCAGTCACCAAGGCAAATGTGTGTGGCGGGGATTTGCATGTCTTTGTAGCATGTCTCAAGTGCAGTTTACACTTGGTTTGAAGTTTTTAAAATCAGGAACTTGGTTTTAGTTGGTCTGTTTAAAGATTTTGGAAGGGTTTGGGAGGGAAGAGTTTAGATTACCAGCTATTTTGAGATTACAAGACTTTTAAATATAATGTTAATTTAATGAAGGGCTTCAATTTTGACAGTCCATGACTCTCGAAGATACATTTTAATGCCCTAACACTCAGTCTTCGGGGACTTCGCTATCACTTGTTCTATTTTGATTTTTGGTTTAGTTTTCTTTGCCTGCTACTTCTTGTTTAGCTTTTCCATTTTTTTACAATTTTAATTTTGGTTATTTTGGGGCCACTTCTTGATTTTTGTTTTTCCAAAGGATGCAGACTCTGATAGTGGGGATGATTCGGACAAGAGATCGTGTGAGGAGAGTTGGAGACTGATCACTTCCCTGAGAGAGAAGCTGCCCCCCAGCAAGCTCCAAACCATTGTAAAAAAGTGTGGCCTCCCCAGCAGTGGGAAGAAACGAGAACCCATTAAAATGTACCAGATCCCCCAACGCCGACGCCTTAGCAAAGACTCCAAATGGGTCACCATCTCAGACCTAAAGATTCAGGCTGTGAAGGAGATATGCTATGAGGTAGCACTCAATGACTTCAGGCACAGTAGGCAGGAGATTGAGGCTCTGGCCATCGTTAAGATGAAGGAGCTTTGTGCCATGTATGGGAAAAAAGATCCAAACGAGCGCGAATCGTGGCGAGCTGTTGCTCGGGATGTCTGGGACACAGTAGGAGTTGGAGATGAAAAGATTGAAGATGTAATGGCCAATGGTAAAGGAATAACTGATGTGGATGACCTAAAGGTGCATATAGACAAATTGGAAGATATTTTGCAAGAAGTGAAGAAGCAGAACAACATGAAGGATGAAGAGATCAAAGTTCTCAGAAATAAAATGCTAAAAATGGAGAAGGTTTTACCCCTGATAGGGTCTCCAGACAAAGCYCAGTCCACTGTAGCTAATGCTGTGACTCCAAACGCTGCCAGTGCAGTGGACGTGGATAAGAGGGCTGCAGATGAGGCCAAGAGAAGCGACAGTGATGATCTTGCCAAGGAGGAACGCGTGTCTCARTTAATGGCAGGCGATCCAGCCTTCAGACGCGGGCGCTTACGTTGGATGAGGCAAGAACAGATTCGGTTTAAAAATCTGCAGCAGCAGGAAATTGCAAAACAGCTTCGCCGACAGAATATGCCTCACCGGTTTATTCCACCTGAAAATCGCAAACCCCGSTTTCCTTTCAAAAGCAATCCCAAACACAGGAACTCGTGGAGTCCAGGCACCCACATCATTATCACCGAGGATGAAGTTATYGAGGTTAGAATTCCGAAAGAAGATGATAAGAACAAAGACGAAGGCAAAGAGAAAGAAAGTAAAGCTGCTTGTAAAGACCCGCAGCAGCTGTGGAATCTTTACGGGCCTCAGAGGAGTCAGGATAACATCCAAATCAAGCGGCAGCAGTTGTGCGCGCCGCAGCAGCAGCAGCAGCAGCAGCAGCAGCAGCAGCAGCCATCGCCTCAGCTGCGCTGGAGGAGCAATTCCCTCAACAGCGGCTCCCAGAAAAGCCTGCGGCGCCAGGCGTCGGGCTCGGCCGAGTCTCTGCACAGCCCGGAGAGTTCCCAGCAGAAGCGGCAGCAGCAGCAGCGGCAGCCGCACCCGGCTGAGGGGGCTCCCCACAGACAGGAGCGGCCCGGCCCTCACAGCCACTGCGGGACCCCCCCGCGCATCAGGCGGCAGCTCTCGGCTCCCAACCTGAAAGCGAGCAGAGAAACGGCGGTGTGAGCGAGGAGCGTGCCCGGGCGGGCTGGGCAGGGCAGGGCACGGGGCACGGGGCACGGGCTGTGCCCAGGAGCAGCCGCGCCTCGGGGCTTTGGCCGGGCACAGCTCGCTCCAGGGCCGCACACCCGCACCSGGAGCGGCACTCTGCATGTGCCTTTCCTTGCAGTTTTCATTGGAAGAATATTCTGAAAAATCGTAAGAACTATTTTCATAGACTAGAAGACTCGGAGGGAGGGATGTGGAGGGGAGGACTTCCCACTAGCTCATTTACCAAKTTTTTTKTGTGTGTGTGTGTCTTGAAGTATTTTTCTAATGCTGAAAATATTGTCTGGAACTTACCAAGTGCTACCTTCTTCCAGTGTTTTCTGTAGACAATCAAAAGAGGAATTTAGTTTCTAGCAGTGAATGTTTCTTGTGACCTTTTTCTTAGCAATAAGGAGACTGACYGTCTGTTTATAAATGCATCTGGTTCTTCAGAACAATATTTTCCACTCTTAACTCAAACTTTTAATAGTAATAATAATCTATAAACCAAAAGTTGTCAGCCGAAGAGATATGTGTTGCTTTTTTATAAAAAACTTAAGAGCTCTTGGGTCACACTTCCTGAGTAGATGTCTCTTCTCCTGCTTARGTTCATAATTATTGGTATGAAATTGCTGTGACAGTTAAACCTGCCTGAATAGACTTTTATGTCAGATTATATATATAATGCTGAAGCAATTCTTTGGAAATAAGCTTTTTCTAATTCCCACTGTATATCTAAATATAATAGTTTTTAATTATTTTACTGAGRTTGTGAAAAGGAACTAGGATTTTTCAACACTCTGGTGCACTCAAAAAGCTAATTCTTTTATTTTGGGTTTTCAGCTCTCTTAGGCATGAGTCTGGGAGATGTTCTTGAAATAGTTATTCTTAGGAAGATTTGTAGATCACTACTTTGTATTGTTTGAATTCTCCTGTGAGATGGGAGAATTGAACCGTTTCATCTTCATGTGATACCTCATGTTAGTGCCTCTGGTCTTGGATTAAACTTGAATTCAAGACTTGTTTAATAAAGGAGAAGGTTGCTTTGAGGAGAAAATAAGATTCAGTTTCCTTCTCCCCATACTCAAAATGCAAGATAAAGTATTTGATATCAGTTTTGCTCTGAAGGGGTTTGTACTTGCAGGCGATTTGCTGTAACACAAGGCTTGCAATTCCTGCTTCAAATGGTTTCAAACAAATTCCGGAAAAACTAGTGATTAAGGGATAGGCTTTGGGGTTTAGTCTCAGTTGGAGAGTCCCAATTTTAATGAAACAGGGTTTTTTTCTGAGTTTAGGTGCAAGACAAAGTTGCTCTTTGTTTTGAAAATCGGTGGCCTTAACTGTAAGCCCATATGAATTTTTGAGGGCTTATTTTTCTTTTAAATGTAATTTGAATAAGATTTTAAAAACAAAATCGGCCACTCTASCACATTTGGGAAGGTAGGTCCACTTTACAGTGTATTTGTGCTGTTTTGCACAAGTATCCTGAGTTTACTTGAGGTTGTTATTCATAACAGATGACCCTCGCTGGTGATTGTAACCTGTGTGTGGCTCAGCATAGCTGTAGGTGAGTGGCAAGTGCCTCAAGCTTATTTTCCATTTTTTTTGGTCCTATCCTGCTTTTCCCCTGCCTCAGCTGGGCATGTTGTAGGTGCTATTGCAACACAGATACCATTGAGATATGAATTAATCCAGTGTCAGCTCTTACCTGCACACAGATCACTGATGGGATGCTGGCCTCTGCTGTGGGAAATACAGAGTCAGTCAAAGGAACAAACTGGTCTGATCAGCTGGGAGTTTTATTTTACGTCAGGTTTAATTTTGTGTCTAGATCTGGCTCTGTAACTTGCATTTGTCTCTTGTTTTGGCCTACTTGAACAAAGGAAATAAAGCATCATGCCCAAAAATGTTTTGATTCATAAAGCAAAGAAGGCTTGTAGATGAGCAGTACTTTCTTCAAGCTTGAGTCWGAATTGCAAAAGGAGTTTTGGGCTGCAAGTGATGTTTTGCTGTTGTTCTTATTTTAGAATCCTGTTTCAGTAGTGCRTTGCACTTCAGTTTTGTGCATGTCAAGGGTAATGAGTTCTTATATATCCCCCAAAAAGCTTGGACTGTGTGAAAAATGCATGCTTGGGAAAACCCTCTTAATTCTGTAGGTATATATGAGCCAAACAGAGTTGCTCTGCACGGGATAGGTTGTGGGAGATGACCAAAGGAATTTTATTTCATGTCCCGTGTTTTGGAGGGTTGTGGCTGCCATATGAAATCACCACATGATTGAGCATGGAGTAATTCTTAGGTCCATGGAACTGTGTGCACTGACATGAGACTAAAAACTCCTGCTACTTGATGCCTTAATGCTAAACACTAAAATGTTTGTGTGAATTTAGTTCAGCTTAAAGCTTTGAGAAGAGCTCTGGAAATGCCTGGCTGGTGCTGGTGAGCAATGGGTGCCATCAGTCTGTCCTACCCCACTGTTTGAGTGCAGCACTAGAACAACCCTGCTTGGATTTGACAGAAAAAGGACAGTCAGTGTCAGAATGGAGTGCTGTCTGCTTCAAGGAAGCAGCTTTTTCCCTGGCTCTGAGGGGAGATTTAGGACTGCTCTTATGGCAGTGCAGTGCTTCAGCTGATAAGGGAAGCAGTGTGGGAACTGGGGATCTCCTTGCACTATTCACAAATACAGCTCTGGCTCCAAATSCTGTGCTAATGGAGTTAATGAGCAGTGAGACAGCTGCTTGCATAGATGCCTGTGTGAAAAGGCTTTTGGGTTGATGGCAGTGTGGCATCCGTGCTGGAAGTGCTTTTGGCTGAGTTCTGGTGCCTTTGCCAAGCGCTGCTGGGCTGGGATTTGACAGCAGCCGTGGATCTGCTGTGCCTTAGTCCTGTAGGACTCACTGTGGGGTTAATGCACATCATTAATGCTCCTTGCACCCTTCCTCAAGCAATCTCAATTTAGGGATCTGTCTCATTAGAGGATGCTGTTTTAATCAGTACATTCAGCATAGTTTCAATATCTCCCTCACCGTGTCCTTTTATATGTTGCAATTTGTTCTTTATATGTTGAAATTTTTCTTGGATATTTCCCATTGAATCTCTTCAGGAGCTGCCACGTGAGAAATCTATGCTGTGTAACTATTTGTACTGTAAAGAAAACAGTGGGCTGCCTTTGAATTAAATGGGATTTTCAGATCTGTCTATTGTTTTGAGTTGTCTTAAGAGCAAGCATCTGCCTTGTGAAAAGCAGAACTGGTTTGTATTGTAACAAGTGCTCTTTCAATAAACTATGAAATACTCTTGTAAGTGTCAGACTTGTCTCAGTGAAATGGAAATGAAATTTGACTGCAGGCTTGTCCTGCCTTTTTTTTTTTTTTTTAATCTTAAATTATGAAAAAAATATTTTCAAAATATTTCTGTCCTGATTTAAGATATTTATAACACTTGATAGTCAGATTTTTTTTTTTTTTTTTTTTTTTTTTTTTTAATCTTGGGGTTGGGATTGTTCCAGCAGAGTTAAAAAGATTTCTTTAACTTTTCTTCAGTCTGATTCTTGTAAATTTGTCCACCCTGGTTTTTCTGCTGTTACGTGGAAAACAGCAAAGCAGATTTGTCTACTCTCAGCTTATTTAAATTTAATACAAAAGAAAATAAGAGTTTTTTATAGGACAAGGGGCCACAAGCCATTCCTCTTTTCAGTGCTGTCCCATTGTCCCATCCTGTGTGCTGTTTATCTAAATTCTGCAAGAAAACACAGAGCTGGCTGTTCTCCATTCATTTGCTCACTGAAGGCAAAAGGAACAGACTTTTCTGTGCACCTCCAATCCAAGGAGAATCACCCCCAGCAGTACCTTGGCAGACATCGTGTCTCAGTTGTTGTGCTCCAGTGTTCTGCTTGAACTGGYCCAGTCTGCTCTGGAAAAGCTTTGTCAGGTCTGAGTGTGTGGAATGTGTGTTTGTGGGTTGGTTGGGGTCTCCCCTGCCCCCCAAATCTGGGCTTGTTGTACACAATCACTTTGTGCTTAATGTACAGAACCAAGCCATGCAGCTCTTTAGGTGGGATGGGAGGAAAATGTAAAGTTTTCATTCTGTAGCTCTTGGACTTAATGYATTACTGCAAATGGCTTTGCAGAAGAATTTTAGGATTTGGGACTGTTGAAGAGAGAAGGTTGGAATACAAGATGAGAGAGGTACTTACATGCCAAGGGCAAAATCTAATTGAAAACAAAGTGCTTCCCCCCACTAATACCTGAAGTGATTTTTTTTTTTGTATAAAAAAAGCAAATCGGTGGTGCTGTTAATCCTGTTTGAGAAAATGAAGGTGAATAATACTCCCCTTTCAAATTTGCTTTTGCATTTTTCTCTATTCTGCCTCTTTCCTACCTCTCTGAAAGCAGCAAGCAGCCAACAATCCCCTTCTTCCTATCTTTAGCAAAAAAACCCAAAAATGCTACCATCCTAAACTTTTCCCTCTTCTAGACACCCTGAGCATGTAAATGTGGTGAATTGAGAAGCCAGCTCTTCTATCTCAGTTGTAGTGGCCTCTGTCTTGTGTTTCCAGGGGAGTTTGCTCTAAAGCAGCAGTTGGTGTGACCTGGAGCACTCCTGGAATGTCTGTGGGATTTCTCCGTGTCTGTCGCTCCGTCTGAGGTGTTGCTCTCTCTCAGCTTCCTCCTGGCTCTTGTCTGTCTCCCTACACAGAGTCTCCTCTCTCCCCACAGGACTATGAGAGCAAACTGCAGGCCCTCCAGAAGCAGGTGGAGACACGCTCCTTGGCAGCTGAAACAACTGAGGAGGAGGAGGAGGAGGAGGAGGAAGGTGAGTTTGGAGCTAAAAGTAACTTGGATACAGCCAAGCCTAAAGGAACAGCTGCTGTATCATCTCTTGTATAGATAGAGAAGTAGCTTTGGAAAGCTGCTGAACACTGTAAGTTCTTGATCTGTAATTCTCTCAGCATAAAGGTTTTATAGAATAATTATAGAATACATTCCACAAGAGCACATCCCCAAGATGATCATCCCCAACACAAGAATACATCCCCAAATACAACTGATGCACAAACCCCCAATCTTTGATTTGGTGGYCTTGAATTTGAAGGAATCTCTTTTCCTGGCACTAACAGAGTCAGATGTCTTTAATCAAAATAACACTGTTGCCTTTGTTTCCTTGTTTTGAAGTTTCTCTTTCCTCCTTGGTAGGAGTTCTTAGAATGCTGTGACATGTCTGTAAAACCGTTCATCTCTGGACTGTGGATAATTTATTATTCCCATTATACTTGCTCTCATTCCACTGTTTCAGCATTTGGCTTTAATACTTGCCAAATAACTCAAAATAATAGGAGTAGAAAAGGTTTTGTTTCCTCTGTTCCAAATCTCATTTACATGATCATTAATCTCCACTGCTAATGTTGAGGAAGTTTGAGTCCAGTTTTTCCTCACTGAATAATGAAAATGTARGGTTTAGTTTTTTCTTCTTCCAGAAAATGAGTTGAGAACTTGATAGCACAGTCAGGAGGAGTATTGGATACTGCATGTGATGGTTTTGAGAAGAAACCACATTGTTTTATGTCTCTGTTTTTTTTGCTCTTCTCAGTGCCCTGGACACGCCATGAATATGAACTTGCCCAGTGGGCCTTCAGGAAGTGGAAATTCCACCAGTTCACCTCACTAAGGGACCAGCTCTGGGGAAATGCAGTSTATCTCAAAGAGGCCAATGCAATCAGTGTGGAGTTGAAGAAAAAGGTAGGGACATGCAGAGCAGCTTTTTGAATTTTCTGACCCATCAGTTTGGATTGCATAGTCCTGCTGCAAATGCTCTGAGTTACTTGTAGTCTTTAAAGTTATGTCTCTTGCTCTTATAAAACGGGGCTGTGAAAGGGTTCAGAGAATTGTGAGTCTTTGGTTCAGGTGTCTGGCTGAGTGAACATCCT